ATGAAGAAAGTGGGTGAACCTGATTCTGGATGAGTGGTAACTTGATTGGATATGGATGATTAAGTTGTAATACATTGATTTCTTTCTCAGTAATATAATGAATTTAAATTTTGTGTGTTTAAATTACACAGATGAGCATGAGAATTGCAAAACTGTTGTCCATAAGGGCTAGTGCATTTTATAGTTATGGCATCAGAGTATAGCTTCCACTTGCAGTCCCTGTTCAGCTAGAGGACAGTGACTTGACTTATTGAGTGGTGGCTCACCTTCCTTTCTTGGGATGGGGTGGGGACTAGGGAAGTGAAATAGAACAAAAATTGAGTCTCTGTTGCTTTGTGCTGCTTTTTATAGGGAACATTGAAGGTGGTTTTCTTTTCATTTGGTAATGGATTTGCCTTTTATTTTTCTGGTTCTCCTTCATTTCATTCATTTTTTTTAAGTTTGAAATAAATTTCAGTTTATTCAGGTTGATTTTCCATATTTAATTACTTCCAAAATAAGCCTTGGTAGCCTCGTATAATCAGTGCACTTCACTTAATTCTTTTCTAAATAGAATATATTTTCAAATTTTTCTCTTAGACCCCAGAATTTATTAGAATATTTAAACACTTTAAAATAGTTTCTCTTTGAAATTAATTACATATAGTTTAGATGGAGGTCTGGATGCTTTCCACTGTTTATTATTAATGTTTATTGAAAACATTTCCTGGTAACCAACAAATGATTTTAGATTGTTTCAGTGTATAGTTGGTAAAGATGTCAGTGACCTTTTACCTTAAAATCAAAACCAAGTTTAAGCAGTGCTTTTATTCACTTTTCTTACCTCAGATCATCTGTTCAAATAGTGATCTGTGATTTACTAAGTAGATGTTTTCCTGGAGTCCCCCTAGTCCATTCTGTGCATATGTTGAAAGATGGGCTGGATTCAGTTGGAATGATGTTCTAAAAGAGTCCACGCATTGTTGATTAGAAAATTTGCTCAGAACTTATTTCTACAACTGATTATCGTTCACTGTCTTTAGCACCATTAACTATGTGTTCATGTAATTGTGAACACATACCAATGTATTACTGTGAATTTTCCTGTAAAAAGAAATTAAATATTTTCAATCAGTAGCATCAGAATGTTGAAGGAGAGGATTTTTTTTGCTCATACATGTGAAACATGGTCATGCAATTTTCGAGTGGAGGTGTGATAAAGACCAACTCACCTCATTGGACCTTCTGGGCCATTGTATTAGAATTTAGTTATACCTCATTCTTGTCACTCAACTTAGACCTTCTTAGATAACTTGGTTAAATGTCTCCCCCTCTGGCCTCAGTGAGCCCACCTGCAACAAGGAAATGAGGGACTAGACTAGACAACCTCAATTCGATTGACATTCAGCCTGTGAAATGATTGGCCAAATTGAGTGTGTGTCTGTAAACAAAATGGAAACAGACCCACAAGAAGGGAAGAAGCAGCCTTAGAGTTAGAGACAGAAACCATAAACAGAGGGCTTTCTTTGCATTAGGGTTATCGGGGTTAAATCTAAAGGCAGGTCATGTCAGTCCCTGGCATTGAGCCCTCCTCTGGCTTCCCATGTTCCTGAGGGCAAGTCCAGATCCTCCCTGTGGCTCCACAGCCCTGTGTCACAGAGCCTTGCCAGTGTGTGCAGCCTCCTCCTGGGAGCCCAGCCTTGTCGTGGCTCTCTCTACCCTGGTCACATTTGCATTTATCTTTGTCCAAACCCTTTCCTGTCCCAAGTCTTTGTCCCTGCTTTTACCCTTTGTCCCTAAATTGTCCTGACTCTGGCCCTTTCTCCTTCAGATCTAGGCTCAGAGATTTCTTCCCCCACCACATCACATTTGCGTTTATCTTTTCACAAACACAGAAACCTTTCCTGTCTCAGGTCTTTGTCCCTGATCTTACCCTTTGTCCTTAAGTCATCACAGCTCTTGCCCTTTCTCTTCCTTCAGGTCTAGTCTCCCACCTCTCCCACCTTTTCATTTCGGGTCCCCTCTGAAAGTCAGTCAGCCTCTATCACGTCACTCAGGTTTTATTTGCATCCCACAGGCCCACCCCCGTCGCAGGGCCCGTGGTCTCTGCTCAGGGGTGACTGGGAATGGTCTGTTCCTGCTCCTGACTGTCACTGGCCCTGCGATTGTGCCCCACTTGCCAGCCACACTCGAAGTCCCAGGACGGCATGGCATCCTTCCTCCATGGCATCGTCCATTTTTATTTCAAGAGAGTTATTTTGGTCAGCTTACCCAGAAGGAGGTATTGTCCATTAAAACACAGACACATAATAAAGCCTTACACATAATAAAGCCGTTATTTTTCATCCACAGTCCATCATTAAAGCAAAAAGTACTGTGTTAACTGTATTTCTTCTTCTGTAAAGCATCCCTTCTATGATCCGTTTAAGAGAACAAACACTGAAATCTTGTTTTGTATTCTTTGATTAATTCCAGCCCTCTTTTCTTGATTTACCACTCTAATGAAGCTTGCACATCCACCCTTCCACTAATCCTTTCCTTTTCAGAGTCACCGATGACCTTGCCATTTTTAAATCCATCATTTCATTTCCTGTCATCATCTTCCTTTTCCTGTCAGCAGCATGTTCCAAAGATAATCATTGCTTCTTTTTTCTTCCCTTGAGGACATACCAATAACCATTATAAAACTATGTAAAAAAATTTTTTTTTTTTTTTTTTTTTTTTTTTTTTTTTTTTTTTTTTTTTTTGAGACAGAGTCTCGCTTTGTTGCCCAGGCTAGAGTGAGTGCCGTGGCGTCAGCCTCGCTCACAGCAACCTCAAACTCCTGGGCTCGAGCGATCCTTCTGCCTCAGCCTCCCTGGTAGCTGGGACTACAGGCATGTGCCACCATGCCCGGCTAATTTTTTATATATATATCAGTTGGCCAATTGATTTCTTTCTATTTATAGTAGAGACGGGGTCTCGCTCTTGCTCAGGCTGGTTTTGAACTCCTGACCTTGAGCAATCCGCCCGCCTCGGCCTCCCAAGAGCTAGGATTACAGGCGTGAGCCACAGCGCCCGGCCAAAAAAATTTTTTTAAATTTATTTTTGAGATGGTCTCACTGTGTCACCTGGGCTAAAGTACAGTGGCGTGATTTTAGCTGACTGTCACTTGAAAGTTATGTGCTCCAACCATCTTCCTGCCTCAACCTCCTCCTGAGCAGCTGAGACTACAGGCATGCACTACCATGTGCAGATATTTTTAAATTTTTTTCTAGAGTCGTCGTCTTGCTAGTATGTTGCTCAGGCTCGTCTAAACATCCTGGCTTCAAGTGACCCTCCCATATTGGCCTCCCGAAGTGCTGGGATTACAGGGATGAGCCATAGTGCCCGGCCTGTTTTAGTTTTTTTTTTTTTTTTGGCTCCTAAAGACTTCACACTTGTCTCTGCTGGAGTCTCCTGAACTCCTTGTTCTGTGAATGTGAGAGTGACCCACAGCTTGGCCCTTGAACCACTTCTCTTTTCTGCGCACATCTACTGCCTTTTCTTAACATCTTATCTCATGCTTTAAGCCCCACTACATGTCTTCATTTCCCCTGCAGACCTCTCCCCTGAACTCTGGAACCCTCTGGCCAATTGTCCCTGTACGTCTGTGCTGGACCATCTCACAGGCATCTCCACCTTCAAATGTCCAAAAGCAACTTTCTGAACACCCAAAACGTGTTCTTTGCAGTTCCCACATGTCAGGTGAGGGCCCCCCTGTGCTTCCTGGGGCTTGTCTGAGCAGATTGTCTTATATTTTAAACATAGGAAATACTACATTGTTCATAAGTGTTTTAATAATAAAAAAAATTACATGTTTACTTAAAACAGGTGAGGAAATACATCATTTCCAATGTTCTTCTGAGGTGTGAGAGAGAAATGTGTGCAGACCTGGCCCTCCCTGCTCTGCTCCCCCTGGACCTCTCTGGCCTCATCTCCTGCTTGTGTGGTCCTGGCTGGCTCTGCTACAGCCTCACAGGCCTATTTCCTATTCCTGGGGCCAAGGTGGCTCCTGCCTCAGTGCCTCCAGGTTGCCTGATCCTCTGCCTAGAACCCTCTGGCCCCTCAGCTGTAGATGACAAACACCATTCCTTCCCTGGTGTTTGTTCTGATATCCCCTTCTCAGTGGGGACTTCTTTGACATGCCCCTATTTAACATTCCAGCAATACTCTCAACCCCCCCCCCCCGTGGACCATATTGTACAATGCCTGTTCCTTTCTGCTCCTTCACCTTCCACTGTCTGGATACTGGTGATGGCATGTCCCTGAGTGGGGAGCAGAGTCAGAGGGTGGGAGGTTTTACCAGGCTTACTGCCTTTGAGTGGAGCTCAGCCCTGGCTTCACATTAGGGTGTTGAGGCATTTTGCAGATTCATGTCTTAACCCTCTTACTAGAGATTCCCATTTCCCTTGCTGCAGTGAGTGTGTGGGCTTCACCAGGAGGGGAGCAAGATCTGACAAAAGGTGTCAAAAACTCACAGGTTGGGCTTCCTGTAGGAGTTTATTGTTTCTGCATCTCTCCTGGGGCCATGGGCAACAGGGGACCATCTTTCCCTCAGGCTGCAGCAGTGGGGAGCTGGGCTGGGCTGAGCTCCCCTCCTGGGCCAGAGCCAGCCCCAACCAAACAGGATGCAGAGCACAGCCCCCCTCACCCCTGCAGGGACCTCAGCCATGACAAATGGAGTACTCAGAACCTTGACTGGACACAGAATAGAATCAACTCTAAATGTTATTAAGCCTGTGCCTAACCTAACACTGTCAATGGGAATCTCCAGTAAGAGGGCATAAGAGATGAAGTCGCAGAATGCCTCAACACCCTAATGTGAAGCCAGGGCTGAGCTCCACTCAGAGGTTGTAAGCCTGGCAGCCCCCACACCCGCTGACTCTGCTCCCTGCTTAGAGCCATGTCCTCAGCAGTATCCAGTCTCCAACCTGTGTGTGTGGTTGTCACACAAGGGGGTGTTGGTTCTGAGCATTAAACAGCATATTTTTATTATTTAGGATTGACTTGTAAACACTCCAGTTACGTGAAGAAGAAGTCCAGAAGAGGAAAGGAAAGGAGTCAGGAATGGCTCTGACTCAGGTAAGGTGATGTTCTCAGTGGGTGGCTCTGTGTCCCCCTCCTTTCTGACATGCCGGGCTCTGGAGTCGCTGATCTTCTGTGACTCTGAAGCGTCCTGCCTGTTGTGTTTGCTCACACTCACCCGTGCCTTCCCTCAGTCCCTGTCACCTCCACTCAGATTCCATCTCCCTGTGACCCAGTGACAGGACCTTGGGAAAAGGCTCCATTGGACACAGGCCTCGATAGGGCTTCACACCCAGATGTGGATTGCAGAGAAGGTGAGGTCCCTGTCGTGTCAGTGCAGTTGGGCAGCAGGGCTCTGGATGCACTGTCAGCTGTAAGGCCAAGATTAGTGAAGCTGCATGTGAAGTCTTATACTAAGGTGCACAAATACCTGGTTAATTTGGAAAAAGACATCAGAAGTGGGAAATCCTTTCTGAAACTACCTTTGTAGTAAATATCTGATAGCAGAAAAGTTTTAATTTTTGAAAGTATATTTGATACCCAGACACACATATGTGTCTGTGTATACATAGATATTTGTGTTTTTTTGTGGTGATTTCTTTGTTGTTGTGTGGTGGGTTTTTTTTTTTTTGTTTGTTTGTTTTTTGTGACAGAGTCTCTCTTTGTTGCCCAGGCTAGAGTGATTGCCATGGCGTCAGCCTAGGTCACAGCAACCTTAAACTCCTGGGCTCAAGCAATCCTCCTGCTTCAGCCTCCCAAGTAACTGGGACTACAGGCATGCGCCACCACACCCACCTAATTTTTTCTATAATATATGAGTTGGCAAATAATTTCTTTCTATTTATACTAGACACAGGGTCTCACTCTTGCTCAGGCTGGTCTTGAACTCCTGACCTTGAGCAGTCCGCCTGCCTTGGCCTCACAGAGTGCTAGGATTACAGGTGTGAGCCACCACGCCGAGCCTATTGTTTTGTTTTTAAGTCAGGGTCTTAATCTGTTGCCCAGGCTCAAGTGCAGTGGCGTCAGCATAGCTTACTATAACCTCAGACTCCTGCCAGTCCGCTTGCCTTAGACAGGAAAGGTTTTCTTTGTGTCTTGTTTTGTTTTTTTGTGATTGTGAAATGAAGTTTATTAAGGAAGGACAAGATAGGTTTACAGAGCAAGAGCAATATATAGGTTTACAGAGTGAGAGCAAGGTATGCTTGCCATGGAATGGTCAACGGGCCTCTTATTCTAACCAAAAGGGCCTAGAACAGGAAAGTTTTTAAACCATTCTCAGCACATCGATTCTACAGAGACTCTGGTGTTCTTGCAGAACTCTTCTGCAACAGGTGTTTTAGGTATAAATCGTTGTAATTTTGCTCTGTTATCGAAATAGAATTACTTTGTAATCAGAGAGGGTGCAGCCATATTCCTCTTCCACCAATTTGTTATTAAATATATATTTTTTATTTTAAACATCACTTCCTGTGTATGTTTGTATTAAAGTAAAACTCCCCACAAAGATGCAGCTGAGAGCCTGACATGTAAAGCATCCCTCTCTCAATCTGGCACCATCCCTCCAGTGTCATTGGGGGACCACTCCTGTCAGTTGTTTGGCAGGAGGCAGAACAAGTTTTGTACAGATGTATTCCACGTTGTTATGAGATTTTAGAAAAAATTCTTCAGGGAATGTTTCTCTGTGATAATTTATCCTGCTGGTTGTTAAAATTTACATGTTTTCATGTCAGTAAACATGCATAGCTTGCTATTTCACATTTTCATTGGAGTATTCTCTGAACGTGGATCTTTATAATTTTTCACTGTTATAAAGAATGTCACAGTGGCTGCCTCTGTGCCTGGGTACATCTATACTTACATCTAAAGGTTCCTTCAGGTTGGCACTTGAAAGAGTGATTGCTGCCTCTGGGACGAAGCAGGCGGTAGTTTGTTAGATCTGCTAAGATTGCTTCCCTAATCCAGCTGCAGGGATACCCTCTGCTACCCAGAACGTGTGAGATTCTCCCTCATTATACAAAACTTGCTACTTTTTTCTTTCTATATTTTTGAAACCCTGAGAAATTGACAACGTTTCTATTAACATTTTTCCATTTCTTGTAAGTCTGCATGGTTTTCATTATTTTCTGGACATGTATATATAAAAAGGATTTTCATACTTTGCTCTATTTTGAGTTCATATATTTCAGGATCTGTTTTGTATCCTGTGGTTTATATTCTTTATATATATCCTGGTGTCTTTTTTTAGGTTATACATTCTTTAAATATGAAACAGAAACCTTTTTCTCACGCCATCTGTTTTTTATTGTGCCTTTGTTGTATATTTTATCTTTATTTGGAAGGCCTTGCACAATTACAGAATAGTATGTTTCATTTACATCTAAACTTTTATTGTTTAACATTTTGATTATGTCTCAGTTTAATTTGAATTTTTATGTATATCTTATTTCAGGTATTTTATTTATGTAATGTTATAAGAGGTTCCTGTTGAGCCTGGTAACCCCTCCATTTTCTTTTTCTTTTCTTAATTATGTTTGTTCTCCTGTGACACGACACAGTCAGATTCATGGAAATCTCATATGTTCTCTTTGTCTTTGAATGGCTTCTCATCCCAGAGGTCTTTATATCTCCACATCTTCCAGTGAGAATTGGGTTTTCTGGTCTTTGATCATGTCTTTGATACGTCTTTTAGTAAAGTTTGTTCCCTTGTTCACAGTTCAGTAATGTTAGGTTATTCAAATTATTGTCCAACACGTTGCTAGAAGTTTTTCATATTGAGAAATTGAAACTATGGGCCGGGCGCGGTGGCTCACGCCTGTAATCCTAGCTCTCTGGGAGGCTGAGGCAGGTGGATCGTTTGAGCTCAGGAATTCGAAACCAGCCTAAGCAAGAGTGAGACCCCGTCTCTACTATAAATAGATAGAAATTAATTGGCCAACTAATATATATAGAAAAAAATTAGCCGGGCATGGTGGCGCATGCCTGTAGTCCCAGCTACTCAGGAGGCTGAGGCAGCAGGATTGTTTGAGCCCAGGAGTTTGAGGTTGCTGTGAGCTAGGCTGATGCCATGGCACTCACTCTAGCCTGGGCAACAAAGTGAGACTCTGTCTCAAAAAAAAAAAAAAAGAAATTGAAACTATGTACCCAGTAAACACTCTCCCTCTCCCTTTTCACTTGTCAGCCATCTTTTCTGTTTGTTTTTGTGTTTGGAATAGCGCCTAGCACATGGGAAGTGTTCAGAAGCTTCAGTCACTGCCATTGCTCTCATCATGTTGGATTTTAGATTCTGACCTTTCCTTAAAGGCGCCATAGATGTTATCATCTCTGAAGTCACCATTGACACTTTAGCTCATCTAGATACTGAATATCACTCCAGTGTCACAAGTAGTACCTAATACATCTCTAGAGATAACCCTGCATTGATTTTTTCATTTGTATATTTCTTCTGTTGTCTATAAAAATAAGAAAATCCATACTCATTTAGAGGGAGTTAGAACCTTTAATGGAAAAGTATAATAAAAGAGAATTAGGGAAACATAGTGTGCTCAAAAATACCTTACTTGGATTTGTCAGAACGTCCAATTAAATGAATTGATCCTTTCACCTCTTTCCTCTTCTCTTTTTGTATAAACATAAAAACGCTCCCCATAACCCTTCGGTAAAATGTGTTTTCATTTCAGAGGCCTTTGACATTCAGGGATGTGGCCATAGAATTCTCTCAGGAGGAATGGACGTGCCTGGACCTTGCTCAGAGGACTTTATACAGGGACGTGATGTTGGAGAACTATAGGAACCTGGTCTCCCTGGGTGAGAATTACTTTTCTTTAGAAGTCAGGATCTGTATATTTTCCCTGATTGCCTCTTGGGACCCCCCGCATTACGGACTGAGTGAAGCTATATTGATAGAGAAATGAAAAGCTTCATAATGTACCATCTGGACTTTACCTGTCCCCCTTTTTCAGATGTTCTGCCCTTCACCATAGTAGGCGCAGGTATGTATAAAGCCATGTGGCTTTTAAAATATCCCATTCTTTGTTTTCTGCCCCCATGCTTTTGATTCAGTAGATTTTGGAAGACAGACAGACATCTGCATCTTACAGTATTCCGTAAACATTCATTGGTGGACATTCAGAGGATGAATTTGTGAAATATTTTCCTAGATTCATCTGTGATGTCCTTCCTCCTACCTTAATGTGGGGCTGGAATTTTGGAAAAGCACCAGCACATGATGTTCCCTTTTTTTTTTTTTTAAAGCAGGAATCTCTGTTTCTGACCTGAGTATCATCTTCATGTTGGACCAAGGGAAAGAGCCCTAGTCTATAGAGACTAAAGTGAAAATAGCAAAAAGTCCAAAGGGTAGGAGTGTATCTGTAAACTGAAATAAAATCTTAAACTACCCCAGCATCTGACTTAATGGACCCCTCTTGGCCAAGGCGACCCCAGAAATGCCCTAAAGCAGAGTTTCTGGCCATGAGAAGGAATGTCAGATATACCTCATTATGCCCTTCCTTTCCTGGAGATGTCCTTTATAACTCATTTACAGGGCTAAGGCTATGCAGGAAAAAGCTAAAACCATACCTGTAGGTCCTCAATTTACTTACCAGATTACTTGAATGTTAGTATATGTCCAGTGGATTATCTATGATTATCACACTTCCTTATCTTAAAACATTTGAAACCTTTAGATGAAGCTTCATTTTGTGAACCAGTTACAAATCAAAGCATCCTTAAACCCGCCTGTAACCTGTAATGCCCTGCTTCAAGGCATCCTCCCTTTTCAGATCAAACCAGTGGATGCCTCAGACGTGTTGATTTATGACTTAACATGTGATTTCTGACTTCCTGAAATACATAAAACGAAACTGAAACCTACACAAGGAGAGATCACTTGTTTAAAGTCTTCTTGGTTGTGGCTCTCCGAGACATTGTCACACATACTCGGCTCAGGATAAACCTCTTCAAATTATTTTACAGAGTTTGGTTACTTTTCTGTTGACATGTGGAAAGTGTGAACACCGGTAAGAGCTCAGATGGGCAGAGAATAAGCTGCTCCATTAAATAGTATTTGGAAAACTCTCCCCATGTCAAAGAGTTCTGCGGCACAGTACAGTTTTAATCCTTGAGCTTTGAACGGAAATGTTTCTTTGCCCCCACTTACCTCTCTGGTCTTTAGACATGTGATGGTTTATTTTTTCACCCTCTACTGCTGATGCAGCTCCAGCTGAGACAAAGGCAAAGTCTTTGAATCGTGGTGGACAACACCCTGCAGTCTGGCTTCTATGAACTCTTTGTTCCCTATACGATTTGCAGCAGAGAAAGGGCCTTTTGAAAGTGGTCTCCTTCTCCCTTGATGTCTCCTTCTATACTTGGTTCCATTTGGTGCTCAGGTTGTACCCCATTTCCTGTACTTGGAAGAGCTAATCAGGAGATGAGAAAACACTGGCTGCCCTTTCTTTGCATCTGGGTTGTAGCAAGTGCATTGAGCTGCCTCCAGCCCTCTCGGCCTGTTCAGGTCTATTTGAGATAGGAAACAGCCAAAGTGTTTCTCCTGTCACACACCGCAGAACACTTCCCTCTGGTCACCAAAATGTGTGGGGATTTCTGTCCTCCCACAGCCAATTTTCTGGCCCACACCTACTGGGTGTCCTATAATTCAATTTAATTATTCCTTTACATCAGTTTCATGTGACCGAGTACTTACTCTTAAAGTATACTTTTAGGCTGGGCGCGGTTGCTCACGCCTGTAATCCTAGCACTCTGGGAGGCCAAGGCCAGTGGATCGCTTAATGTCAGGAGTTGGAAACTAGTCTGAGCAAGAGCGAGACCCCATCTCTACTAAAAATAGAAAGAAATTAATTGGCCAACTAAGAATATATAGAATAAATTATTTAGGCATGGTGGCGCATGCCTGTGGTCCCAGCCACTGGGAAGGCTGAGGCAGGAGGATCGCTTGAGCCCAAGAGTTTCAGGTTGTTGGAGGTAGGCTGATGCTACAGCACTCTAGCCTGGGTAACAGACTGAGACTGTGTCTCAAAATAATAATAATAATTGTTTTGTTCTTTGGATTTATTATAATATGTAGAAGATTAGTTTTTGATATGTCAAAATTTGTACTTTTTTGTGTTAAGTTACTGTCTTATTACCAGAAATACCATTAAGTTTATTTGCCATAATTTGTTATTTAAACACACTGAGTTTTCTGTAGTGTTTTTTCAATTTTCTAAGCATAATCTGTGGATATTGTATAAATTTTAGATTTTCTTGTAATAAATGATGTATTCTAATATAATCATTCTTTCTGTCTTGATTCATCATGTATTTTGATAAGCTATATTCATATTTGAATATCTCATAGTATTCTATTAGAAACTTCCCCCATTTCTTATTGTTTATCATCTTCTCTACTATTGTTTATATCATGTATATTTTCTGCAACATTTCTCGGCGAATTTGCATTCTTCAGTTAACGCATGAATATTATTTTGCTACTCATCTTTCTTTGCATCTGAATTTTCTGTAACCTCTACCTGGTCCCTGTTAACTCTCCTCCTGTTCCCTGCCTCTTATTTGCTGTTTATGTTGCTGGCTACCTCCTCAGTAGGTTTCTGTGCCACTGCCAGGAAATGTTTCCTGACTTTGCAGCTACCAACAGTGACCTTCAGTACAAACCATTCCCCACTGTGGCCCGTGTACTTATTTTCTCTGTAAGGTTACTTGTGTTCTCCTGGTGCTATTTGCGAAGTCCAATATATTAATTTTGGATAAGTGCACATGAATATTCTTTCACTCACACCAACAACTATATACCAAAATACATACAGTTATATTACCTATAACCATATAACTATTTTTTTTTGTCAGATAGCTTCAAAATATCTTATATTGTAGGAGCTTAGGAAAGTTAAAGTATACCTTATTCTGTGTGTTGTTCTCATTTAGTTTTTATTAATTACCATGACTATTTAAACTCAATTCCTCTCTCTAGTATTTGGTAACTAGCATTCTAATTTATATGTGTATGAATTTGCCTGTTTTAGATACCTCATGTAAGTGGAATCATAATATTTTGCTTTTTATAACTGGCTTCTTTCACTGAGCATAGTATTCTCAACATTTATCTATTTAGTAGCATAAAACAGAGTTTCTGTCTTTTTAAAAGCTGAGTAATGTTCCATTGTATTGCCTGTGTCTGTCACAGTTTGTTTGTCTGTTTATTTGGGATCTATACCTGGGTTGCTTCCACCTTTTGGCTATTGTGAACAGTAGTGCTGTGAACAGACTTACAAATAATCTCTTCGAGATCCTGTTTTTGAATCTTTTGTGTATATACGCAGATAAGGAATTGAGGGGTCATATGATAATTCAGTTTTGAAGTATTTCAGGGTAGGTCCCATAGTCAGCACTCCGCATCAGTGTATTCCATATGCACAGATTCTGGGTCCGAGGATTCAACCAACTGTAAAATCAAAAGATTTATGACACTTTCAAAAAGTAAAACTTGAATCTGGTAGGTGTTAGTCCCATGCTGAATCCACATGAAGGAAGTGATACATTGGCATTGTATTAGGTATTGTGATTTTATGCTGTTGTTCAAGAAAGTATTTCTGTAATATCCTTTTCAGTTTGTTCATATTCACTGTATATGAACACAGCTGATTTTTTCAGGTTGAGTTTATATTTTGCAATTTTTACTGAATCGATTCAGTAAAATGAATGTCCTCACATTCCTTTTTGTATCTTGTGTATTCTGCACACAAGATTGTGTCATCTGGAAACAGATCATTTTACTTCTTCCTTCCTATTTGTATGCCTTTTATTTTTCTTATTTAATTGTTCTAGCTAGGATTTCAGTACTGTGTTGAGCAGAAATAGCACACACAGGCTTCCTTGTGTTTTTCTTGATCTTTAAGGAAAAACTTTCTGTCTTTTAACATTGAAGATAGTATTTGCTGTGTTCCCATATGGTCTTCATTATGTTAACGTGGAGTTTTTATATTCGTAGTGTATCAAATCTTTTTATCATGAAAATATGTTGAGTTTTCTCCAATGAGTTTTTTTGCATCAGCAGAGTGGATCCTGTGGTTTTATTCTTCATTTTCTAAATTCGGGTTTGCTGTTCATAAGTTGCACCATACCGACATTCTAGGAATAAATTCCTGTGGTCATGGTATATGATCCTTTTAAATGTATTTTTAAGTTGATTTTTTCAATTATTTTGTTGAGGATTTTGGATCAGATTAAACATGAATGTTGGTCTTTAATATTCTTATATTTGTGTTACTTTTCTGTCAGAGTGATGCTTTCTCATGGAGTGACTGTAGAAGTGTTTCCTCCTCCTTAGTGTTTTGGAAGAGTTTGAGGACGATTGAGAATAATTCTTTTTTAATGATGGGTAGAATTCTCCCCTGAGCCCATGTGTTCTAGTCCTTTTCTTTGTTAGGAAGGTTTTGATGTGTGATTCAGTGTCCCTATTTGTTATTCACCTAGTTCGATTTTCTGTTCCTTCAATCTTAAGTCTTGCTAAATTGTTTGTTTCTAGGAATTTATCCTTTTTTTTCTTGGTCATCATTTCTATTGTTGAATGGTTGTTCAATATGGTCAACCAAAAGTTTAAGTAAGAGGCACTAGAGACTTAAAGAAATCAAAGCTAATTTTATTGTGAGCCAAGTTGAGTCCTGCAGCCTAGAAACATAAGACTCGGGGCATACTGAGAATGTGCCCCAGTGAACTACATAAAGCATGGCATTTATACGGTCTGTTACATGAAGAATGAGAGAAGAGGGCAATGAAGCAAAGGAGACATTCTTACAATTCTGATTGGTATTTTGTGATGTTAATACATAAGACAAAGCAAACATGGTTAACATAGGGTAAACAGTTTATATAAGGTCTGAAGAGGGATGATTGATTCTATCCCTTGTGCTTCATCTGATAGGGAAGGTTGTAATCAATACATTTTAGTGAAAAGTTTGATAGACCTCATCCTTGCCAG